CGAACTAGTGCATAAGCACCCTGCACACCTTGGTTCCCCTGTAAAGATTAAGGTAGAAAAGGTTCGGCACAGTCGAACCACCCCGAACTCATGTACACACCTTGCTATCTCTGCGATGATGTGGTTCGAGAAGGTTCGAGAAGGTTCGAGTAGGCTAAATGTACTTGAACCACCCCGAACTAGTGCATAAGCACCCTGCACACCTTGCTTCCTATGTAAAGATAAGTTAGAGAAGGTTCGGCACAGTCGAACAACCCCAAACTCATGTGGAAGAACTCTACACACCTTGCTATCTCTGTCATGATGTGGTTCGAGAAGGTTCGAGGAGGTTCGATGCACTTGAACCACCCCGAACCAGCCTCGTATAGCTTTGCTGCAGGTGGCCATCGTCTAAGTTGGTTTGAAGCCTGCCGTTGCATCTACAGTTTTAGACTCCTCATGGATGATGCAGTAGAGACCTTAGTTACAGTGTGGTCACTTTTGCATCATTCCATGACTATGGCAGGCCTTCTTCTCCCTCCCCACAAAGAACCATGCACACAAAAACAGCATGTGCCTTCTATTAGCGCAAACACAAATTTTGCAACTTCCACCTAAGCTATTATCTGCTCATCGAGAGATCATCTCTCCATGAGCATAAAACAGCTTAAGTCCGTCTTCCCTCCAAACGGCAGCTGTCTACACTACTCTACATGGGATTGTAAGGTTGTAGATTGGTAAGCCCGTCTACAAGAATGGCAACAAGAGCGCCATGTGGGACCAGCAGCTGCCGCCGCTGCAAGTCCTCCTGTATAAAGGAGCAGCCCGTGTCTCTTCGGCCCCACTCTTCCTCCATTTTAGAGAAATGGGAGCCGGTGAAAGATATTTTAAGTAGAATAATAGCTTAATTTAGAAAAGAGGGGTGTCGACTGTGTACCAAAAACATTGCTTTTAACTCTCTCCCTTCACCGTTTAGTTCACATGAATTCGGGGTGGCTTCTCTAAACAGGGTGTGCAGGGTGCTTATGCAATAGTTCTGGGTGGTTCACATGCATCGAACCTCCTCGAACCTTCTCGAACCACATAAATAGGGGAAGGAAGGTGTGCAGGGTGCTTATGCACTAGTTCGGTGTGGTTCTAGTGCATCGAACCTTCTTAAACCACATCATTGCAGAGATAGCAAGGTGTGTAGAGTTCTTTCACATGAGTTCCGACTGTACCGAACCTTCTCGAACTATATCTGAGTTCGGGGTGGTTCGACCGTACCGAACCTTCTCTAACTATATCTGAGTTCGGGGTGGTTCGACCGTACCGAACCTTCTCTATCTACATCGTTACAGGGGAAATGAAAAGCACTGAAGTGCAAACCCTCGGCGAACTGCGCATGTGCGGTACCTGATGGGCTGGGCTTTTTATGCCTTTATTCGTGGTATCCCGCTAGTAGCTCGCGGAGAGTCTGGCACGGGCTAGCTACAGTAGTAAATAGCATGCGGGAGTCGATACATGCCCTTCGTTGTGACTTGTTGTGCCTTCAAGCTTCAAGACACACAGAGCGAACGGACGCGGTCGAGGTAAGCCTGTGCTAATTTACATATTGGCTTGTTCACTTGGTTTTCACGCCATAACTAAACACAGTAGTTTTACGAAAATCGCCTTTTTTAAAATGAACCCAGTCTAGCACTGAACCCGATCATATCGCTATATATTTACCTGGTTTCGTGCGCGCGGTGGCAGAAAACGTGGTAACAGACAGACGGACAGACTGACAGACACGCTTACGGGACAACTACCGTAACCCTCGCTGCGCATGCGCGCCGAGGGTTAACAATGCAGGGTCGAACCTTCTTGAACCACATCATTGCAGAGATAGCAAGGTGTAGCGATGAGGTTTGATGTGCTGGAACCACCCCGAACTCATGACAAAACTCTACACACTTTGCTATCTCTGTAATGATGTGGTTGGGGAAGGTTCGACGAGGTTCGATGGTCTTGAAGCCCGCGCATCCCTATGACGTTCTTCTATAGATCAATATTTTGTATATATATATATATATTTATATTATATATAATATTTTACAACTACTCCTCTGTCTGGTCTTCACTGTGTTTAAAAAATACGACTGCATCAGAGTGGACTCAAATTTTATGCAACGCTTCCTTCTCATAAATATTATTTGAAGACAGTAGCCTGTTTATGCCATCTTGGTTTTGTTCCGTGTTGAAAGGTTTCAATAATTCATTTAGTTCACCACTGGTTATTTGCTTATCTTTAGAATCAAGGATACTTCTCGCAATTTGTATAGTCAATATCGCCAAGTCATGTGTAATGTTTCCATAAAGGTTCACTTTAACCCCAATACTTCTTTGTAGTTCATTCTCAGTGTTTGCAAAAAGCTTATCCTGAAGTTCATCTAGTCCATTTCCAGAATTTAACTCTACGGTGACCTTTATTAAATCTGCAAATCGGCCACCTACCAGATCGACTGCTTTTTTAAATGTTTCTACGCTTGATTGGTGAACTGAACATTTTAAGTATTCAATTGCATCATCTATAGGGATATCGTCAATATAAAACATTCGTAATCGTGAAGATGAACTTCTTTTTAAAAACAAATTAGGTACATGTCCATCACTGGAAGCAAAGAAGATTGTCAACATTCTCTTGTCGGCGGCCTCTCTAGCAAAGTCTTGCAATACCTCTAGGATATTCTCTCCCTCTACTCTGTTAAGAAGCGCACCGATATTGTCAATCACCAGGATTGGGCCACACAGCATTTCTCTAGCTGCATGTTTGATAACTGACAAAATATTCTTAACCCTATCCAAAGCTGTTTTAGGACAAGCATTGCCAACAACAAAAAGACTTCTAAGGTGCTGCAAACAATTTGGTTTACATATGTACCCTAAATAAACAGTAGACGCCAAACTGTCGTCAAACTCGTGATCCGGTTCAACAGAAATATAAAAGGCACCAGAACCAATTTTATTTAAAGCATATTGAACAGCTCTTGTTTTCCCACATCCATGAGGACCCTCAAGTACATGGTAGAGACCATAAGATTGAGTACTATCATCCGAATCACTTCACTCCTGTTTATATATAAGGCAGCTTGATGAGTCAAATGCTCCCTGATATCCATTATGAAAGGCATTCTTCACCCATGAAACTTCACAGGCAGACATTTTGTACCACACCAGGTACATAACAACAAACGTAACAGAAGGACTAATCATTACTTTAGGACATGTGTCATTTCTCTAACCACTCTCATCCAGTCAGCACCATAACAACTGACAAGAACTGCAACGATTGATGTCAAACCAACCAACCAAACCAACAACCACAGTTATTAAGAGACTATATCCGCCGAGAGCAGAGCAGAGGGCGTCCCTCACCCCATCCAACACATGCTATAATAGGGCGGAGTGCTATAATACGGTGGAGACTCTTCGGAGTGTTTCCTGCAAAGTGAGAGAGGGAGATAGCGACAATAAAGAGAGAGTACCATTGCGACGAGAGAGAGAGAGAGAGAGAGAGAGAGAGAGAGAGAGGTGCCATCGAACTCACCTAAACGGCAGTGGCTTGGTGGCACGGCACGGCAGAAGACTACACAGAGAGTCGCGTGAGGTTCTTACAGAAATTAAAGTGTAAACCCTCGGCGAACTGGGCATGCGCGGTACCACTAATTGATGGACTGGGCTGCTATTAGTATGCGTTTACTCGTGGTCTCCCGTCCATAGTTAACAGGATTATAATGTTCTTTCCTCATAACAATGGTGCAGCCAGTCTTAGCTTGGGATCATCACCCGATATTGATCAATTCATCACACTTAAGGTCACACACACTCCAAACCATAATAATATTATTACTACTCGCCTTGTCTGCGGGGACTAGAACATATTTCTGGTGGAATTTTTCTAAATATTCCAAATGAGCGCGATTCTGCAGCTTTCTATGTATGGGCTTCTTCCTCTTGAGAACATTTATCCTATTTATAATACATTCATTGATCTTGCTATGCCACTCATTCAATATTCGGACATCAAAATGCTCTCTCTTGGCCCACTGCACCTTATACGCTCGTATCGAATCCAAGAGTATTGATTCCAATTAATATTATTCTGCTCCCTGTACAAAGGCCCTTTTATCAAAAGCTGACGAAGTTGTCTATCATCCACAATACGTAGATTACCAGTTATCACGTGCCCATATACATAAGGAGAATTACTGCAGTCACAAGACATTTCCTTGGAACCAACAGTAAAGTCTATCTCCGAGACCACCGTCTTATGGTTAAACACTTTACAGGCAATCGTACTAGCATACTGGTAGCTAACCGTAGGTGGGGTATTATCTATGCATAAGGGAATTGTAGAGGTAACGTTCTTGTTGTGCAACAAAGAAGGCAGGTGTTTCAGTTTCATCATTATATATGGTTGAGTCTCACCCCTTCCCCACTCTTCTTTCTCTCTACACTGAAAAATATTGTAAAGCAGTGGGCTCCGTAAATTTGCCATCCAATCAGTTCTGGTATACTGTATCGTGTCTAACTGGTGAGCAAATGAGTGTTTTTACACCGGAGTGATTTGTTTGCTAGGAGTTTCTTCACTATTGTGTGTGTGATTTCCAGTATACATTATGTGGGAAAGGGTGTAGCTACTCAAACACCCACTGCCTTCTCAGTGTACACGTGGGAAGCTGTTTCTGTGTGTTTGTGTCATATTATTGTTCTCTTGCACATTCACCATTACTAAATTTCAGAGCTTTTTCCAAGGTACGTATAATTTTCACCCTTATAGGAAATTTGATATTTTTTTACTATTCTGCAAGACACAATAATCTGACAAACAAACTCGCATGAAAGCTCCTGTTATCCAGAAAATGTTGCTAATGTAGCAAACTAATATCCTCACCATTACTATCTGCATGGCCTCACACATTTATGCATGCGTCTCACGTATCACCCTATCACTTATACTATATGTGTACTGCGCATGTGCAGAGAGAGTTCATGAATCTTTGAGTCGAGTTATACGCCACATTGGACGTCCCACCGAGACTTGGCACGATCGACTGGAAGACGTTGCCTACGAGCCTGAGTTAGTGCAAGAACCCGAATTCGACCTACCTTCACCGGTATACGCCAAAAAGGGGCGATGTCGAGCGACGGTGACAACGCAGCTGGCGAGGAAGAGACACGTGGCCAGACTATTGAACTCTAGACGCTTAACAGCGAGTCTTGTGGCGCGGATAGCGACTGGATTAGGGTTGCCTAGAGCACTCTCGACAGATGGTAGAAGGAAAACTCGCGGAAGAGGAAACGTCAGGTCGCGGTGGTGGAAACGGCGCGAGGTCCGTTTATCAAGCTCTTGGACGAAGATGGGGTGTTCCTGGAAGTACCACCGAGCGGAGAAGGAAACGGAGAGGAGCTGGGGAGTGGCGGAGAAGACGGCGAAGCAGCTGGCGGAGAAGACGAAAGTCCCGGTGGGCGGGGCGGCGGTGGTGGTGCGCCGAAATCTCCAACGACAGTTGCACTCGAGGAGTCGGAGCGTGCACTCGTCTCCGCACGTGCTCATGCAGCGAAGGTGGAAGCACACCTGGAGCGGGTGGCGCGTCGGAACACCGAACTCACGGATGAGGTGAGAGAATTAGATAAGAAACTGGGAGATGAGAGAGAGAGGTACCAGGCACTCTGGCGCATGAGCTGTGAGCAGTTGACTAATTATGATGACATGGTAGCCTTCAAGGAGGAGGAGATTAGGATGCTTAGAGCCCGGGTAGACAGCTTGAGGCCGGGAGCACTGCCTGTGACAGATGCGACCGGTCCAACCCTAGGGGGTATCGGGGGAGACTCAGTCGATGCGGGAACTCTCGGGGCTGGGACGCCTGACAGGGGGAGGGTGCGTGGGAGCGAGCTAGAACCTGTGCATGCTGGCAGCCGACCACACCCGACCGGGGCCGTGAGGAAGCGTAGTCCTGTCCCCCATACTGTGACCACACACAGTGATGCAGCCACACCCCGCCCAACAACCCGGAGTGCTGTGCACGGCACTGAGGTGAGATCTGTGAGCTATTAATACCCCCACGTCGCGAGGAAAGCCCCTCCGTCGTTCAGTGGTGAGGAGAGAAGAGATTCACATTCGAAGACTGGCTACCAGCGTTGCAACGGGCCGCTGAATGGAATGGTTGGTCAGACCAGGAAACTCTTATTCAGTTAACTGGGCACTTGCGTGGCCGAGCCTTACAGGAGTGGACACTGCTCAGGACTACCAAGAAGGACTCCATGCCCGCGCCGATTCAAGCCATGCGCAACCGACTTGACCCTGGAAGCAGAGTTGTGGCGGCCCAAGATTTCCGTCACGCGGCGCACGGGATGGCGAGTCGGTGTCAGACTACATATGCCGTCTCGAACAGTTGTTCCGTCGAGCCTATGGCCATGAGGGGATGTCCGATGAGACAAGGGACACCCTACTCCATAGCCAGCTTCAGGAAGGCCTCAGTTATGCTCTGATGAAGGCACCAGCAGTGTCAGGATCCCGGATGTACCTGGAGCTATGCGTCGCTGCCCGAAATGAGGAAAAGAGACTCGCAGAGTTGGCCAAGAGGAGGGAATACCACAGAGATCAGATGACGTTTCGACCCAAGGAGCAAGGACCAGGGTACAATCGTGGACAGCAGATGGCGACGAGGCCCCCAGAACAGGGACCGCCAGTGGCAGGATATAGTCGTAGACCCCGGGATTTGCCAGCAGGACCCAAGCGGTGCTTCAACTGCCACCAACTTGGACACTGCAAGGGATTGCCCGAACCCGAGTGATACTAATGCCACCGGCCCACCACGACCTGGGGTGACAACTGGCCAGGTTAAAGCGACTGACGGCACGAGTGACCAGACCAAGGAATTGGAAGAAACTCAGGGCCTGTTGAGTTGTCTGTTTTCAGACCCCGAGGATGATGCAGAAGTACACCAAGTTCGTGTTACCGACAGGCTCGCGGTATTATTGACAGCGGGTCTGAAATTACAATCATCGGAGGAGAACTGTTTCACAAAGTAGCGGCAGTCGCACGGTTACGTAAGAGCCATTTCAGGTCCCGGACAAGGTCCCCAGGACTTACGATGGACGTTCATGTTGTGCTGCATGGCGAATCGACTTGGATGTAAGCTTTGGTGATAGAACAATGAAGACACGGTTGATGTATGGGAAGCGCATGCAGCTGACCAACTTTTACTGGAGAGGGTGTCTGTAGACAGTTGCAAATCATCACCTACCACCTTCACTCTGACCCCTGGGAGGATCTTGCCGATGACCAAGGGAGAGAGCGAGATGGGTCTCCAACACCAGATACCTGTTCGCCCTAGCCAAACTAACTCTAGCCCAGGGCCGTGAACCGACTCAGCAAGTGCATGGTCAACAAAACAAGAATGGAATCAGACAGGATCGCCAAACAGAAAGAAGAGCGAGGGGGAATTCAAGAAACTGGTGAGGGTGGAGATGGTATCAATCAGACAAAGGACAGTACACAAGCCAACAGCAGCGATAGCAACTGGAAGCACCACCGGCAAAGATACTCAATGACACGGACGTCAGGAAACTCCGGTTCTAGCAAGCACGCACAAGAGCAGGACAGTCGGTCAGCTCACGGGACTTTCCTCGAGCATCCGCAGAAAGAAGGAGCAACACTACCCAACACAACTCCAGGGGCAACTGGAGATGGAAGACGAGAGCGCCAGATGCTGTTGTGCCCATGGTCCGTGTACATCTCATCCAAACCACTCGGATCCCAGCTAACAAGTGGGTAATGGCCGAGATCAAGGCGGAGGCAGTCCTAGCCCATAGCCCGATCATCTTCAGCTGAAGGAAAACTCTGAACAAGTGTTCGGTATTCACCTGGACGATGCCCTACTGGAACAAGACAGCAATGGAACTCTTCATGTCCCGATGTCCAACAAGTCAGGATTCACTCAAGTTATTGAAGCCGGAGCGATCCTGGGCGGCTTTAGGTGCAGCAGTGATCGAGGGAGCAACTCACCGGGGGAGTGAAGGTACTCTCACTACCGTGGACCCTGGTACAACCCAGCGCTGGAAAACTCACGACGAGAGAAGCTGAGGGAAGCAATCGGACAGTTAATCTGCACCAGAGAGAGAAAGACCTTCCAAGACTCATCACTGCGCACCATCAAGCCTTCTGCCTAGAGGAGGTGAGCGAGGAGAGACTGATCTCTCTACATGGACATTGATACGGGAGATACCCATCCATCAAGCAACGAGTGAGGAGGATGCCCTTTTCTGTGCGCCAAGAAGTAGCCAGACAACTACGCACCATGCATGGGAGTGGAGTGATTCAGCAATCAAAATCTCCATGGGCCAGTCCAGTGGGTGCTTGTGCGGAAGTGTGACGGCTCACATCGGTTTGCGTGGGACTACAGGAGACTGAATGCCGTGACGAAACCAGACACATACCTACTCCCTCGGATAGAGGACTTGTTGGATCAGCTGGCCAGACCAAGTATTTCTCCAGTATTGATTTGGCATCGGGATACTGGCAGATCCGAATGCACCCTGGTCGCAAGAGAAGACGGCCTTTACACATCACTCCGTACGGGCTATACGAATTCCGTGTGATGCCCTTTGGGCTCATGAACGCCCCTGCTGTATTTCAACGACTGATGCAGCAAGTTATCTCCCAGCTCAATCCTGAGGAAGGACCAGAGTTTGTGTCAGTGTATATTGACGACATTTTGGTGTTTTCCAGAACACTCCAAGAACATCTACACATCTAATGCGAGTTATTGAGAGAGAATTGTTGAAGTTGGCCTGATGCTCAAGCCGTCGAAATGCAAATTTGTCCGGCAGGAGCTTGAGTACCTCGGTCATACGGTGTCACGCGAGGGTCTAAAGACCAGCCCTCGTCTGGTGGAGGCAGTAGACCTGTTCCCTGTGCCACAGACAGTTCAGGAGACACGAAGATTTCTGGGCTTGCCTCCTACTATCGACGATTTATTCACAATTTCGCTAGGATCGCCCTAGCCCTGCACGACCTCACTTGCAAAGGTGTGCCGTCCACTGGGGTGCAGAACAGGAGGGAGCATTCGTGGAGCTCAAGAAAAGATTGACAACAGCACCAGTATTGGCATATCCGGACTTCAAACTGGACTTCTACATGGAAACCGACGCATCGGTACTTGGTCTAGGAGTCGTATTATGCCAGTTTCAAGCTGACCAGAAGCTGCACCCCATAGCCTATGCGAGTCAGGCTCTCAACGCTGCCCGAGAAGAAAATATGCCGTCACTGATTGGAAACGTTGGCAGTGTGTGGGGGGTGTCCCATTTTCCCATCACTATCTATACGGGAACTCTCTCACCATCTCACGGACCACACAGCCGTCAGGGCAGTTTTGGAATCTGACAACCAATGGCTAAACAGCCAGATGGTGGACCAAGGTGTATGGCCGGGGATGAAGAGTGTGTCCATCAAGTACCGGCAGGCAAGGAGAACAAGAATGCGGATGCCCTCGCCCGTGCACCAGTTTCCTGCACCAGAGGTGGCATAGCAGAAAGCTGAAGCCCAGATCTCTAACATCGTCACCAGCCTGCAGGATGGAGCGGGTATGCCTGCCTCCATTAGCTACCCGCACCAACTCCAAGGGCGGACACGCTCAGACCACCATCAGTCAGCGTGCCACCCCAAGGAGCTTCGGCGACGGACTCCACGACTTCCAGACACATCAGTCATTCTCAATCACCTTCCGCATCTCCTACAGTCCACGAGCAGCCACCTCTGCGAGGATGCATAGATGGAGCTCTCCTCTCTCAGTACACCGAAAACGCGGCCCATCACGACGAAACACACCCACAACACCTCCAGAGTCCCCCCACCATCCTTGAGGAGGAGGACAGATTCGACCAATCTCAGGAAGCACTTGTTTCCATGAGGGAAGCACGAAGTAGGGATTACAGACCGACAGTTCCAGGGAAGTGGAGTTGTCGAGTGAAGGTGAATGGTTGGGAGGTGAATGGTTGGAGGTGAAGTGCCAGGGTGGAAGGAATCTGCCTCATGTACCTAGACAGTCCCCAGGATGGAGCTACTACGGTAGTCCGACACAGACGCCAAGGTGTAAGGAGAACACGGAAACTGCCCCCGAGCGGAGAGTTATAGTGTGGTGGAGAGAATTTCTCCTGACATGGAGCAACTACAGACTGGCGGAGAAGATGAGGGGGACACAAGTGCGGGTGTATACAATGGAAGCGGAGCGACAACTTTCCCCTTCTACTAGCGCCAACCTCAGCACCACATTTGCAACCTACTATTGCGCCGATGTTGGTAGCAGAGCAAAAGCGTGATGAACGAATAAGTGAGTTGAAAGCAGTTCATTCAGCATGGCTCTTTGCGATTGACCCCCACCAGAGCAACAGTAAGAGGCCCTACAACAATCGCTGTTTGCAGTAGTTGATGATGTCGTCTATACATGATCCGAAGCGACTAACCATAGCGAGCTGTGGCGCCCAAGTCCCTCCAGGAACGTTTACTCAAGAGACACACTCAGGACCGTTCGGAGGACATTTCTCGGGGCAGAGGATGTTTAATACCCTGGCGACTAACTGGTGGTGGGAACCAAATGTTTGCAGATGAGTGCAGGGTTGCTCAGCGTGTCCAAGAATGTGCT